GTAGGGTTTCCAAGGAGCAGCTGATGAGATTGAACCACCGACCTTGCAGTTCAAACGGCTTTGCAGTCTGAAGCATTAACCCACAGCGCCACACCAGAACTCCATAGATTCTAAAAATTAATTGAGATTATACAAGAAAAAAATATGAGTCCTTTTTTGCACTCTGCATTAAAACAACTGTTTTTGGTGCTCTAAATTTAGCTGGTGTGGCCTGTGGGATAATGCACTGGACCACAAGGTTGGTTTGAACAGCAAGGTCGGCAGTTCAAATTCACCAGCCGCTCATTGGAAACCCTATACAGGGTCACTATGAGTCAGAACTGACTTGACGGCACTTAACAATAAGAATACATTTAGCTTAGTTACCCAAAATGCAAATGTCAGGTTTAAAGTCGCTCTCCTTACCTGTAGATTCGTTGTTACTGGGATATGCACAACCTAATTTTTTTTTTTTCTTTCTTTTTTTTGCAGAGAAGTTTCACTTTAAGTCCTGGATGATGCAGGTTAGATCCAACTTCTTCTTTTTGAGGTTTCACAAATTTCCTGTTATTTGTTCAAACTGTACCAGATTTGAGACAGTAGAGAAAGGGGTTTTCTGCCTTGCTCCCCGGGGGAATTGGTCAAATACGAGAAAGATACAGTTCATGTCTCCCCAAACCCCTCCTATGATATTTGTGAAAGTTTCCCAGCAGCCTTTCAAATCTTGGAGTTAATTTCCTTATTTTGTTTTCAAACCACTTTGTGTGCTGATTGCCAAATCAGTTGGAGTACACTCATACTTGTACTTTTGAAAAGTGATTTTTGTCAGAAAGTTGACAAAGGGCCTGGGCACTTGGCAGATCTCTCCACCTGGGCCCCTCACAGTATCAACTGACTTCCAAGCACACATGGGTCCTGGAGACACCTACCTGCCAGCTTTGCCTCTCACATCAGAGAGCCAGAATCTGGTCACACAGTCATGGGCCGAGACTCGTGGCAGAAAGAAAACCTCCATCCCTCCTCTTCACAAACAGAAAAGCCGTCTTCCATGAGCTGCATCCTGTTTGTGTGACTGACTGCTCATGTGTTCTGTTTTAGCACCAAAAGAAATACAGCAGCACAGAAGAATACCACAAAAAGCAGCAGACATTTGTCAACAATTGGAGGAAGATCAACGCCCACAATGCTAGGAACCACACATTCAAAAGTACTTCCGGGGGGCACCTGTGTTCAGGCATCTCGGTTCCTTGGGTGGAGGGAGCAGTTCAGGTTCAGAAGGAGATGCATTAGTAGCACTTGCTGACTCAGGGATGCACTGGGGGCTTCAGGTTAGAAGGGGCAGAGACCCAGACTCTGAGGTGGTACTCAACTCTGGGTGTTATTATCCCATGTGTAACAATGTAGGTCAATGCTGATCGACCTCCTAGTGGTTGTAAGGGTTACAGAACTGTATAGAAGTCCCTGCTCTGTTCCTGCCATTTAAGTCCAGATGCTGAACTCTGCCAATGAATTGCTGTGTTCTCGGGCAGCCTCTGGGAACATCTGCGTTCGTGAGAAACGCACACACATAACATATATCAAGATTTTGGCTGAGGACTTAGAAATGATGGCAGTGCCTCCTAACTTGGTAATAATATAGGCAACAAGCCTGAACTGGGAAGAAACCTGAGTTTGAAGTTCACTACTGCCTATGACCTGGTTGTTTTTGTGGCTGTGTGCCGACCAGTCAGTTCCAATTCCTAGTGACCGTATAGGACAGACTAGAAGCATCCTGTACTCTAGACTATAGCCTCTACAGAGGAGTCTTGGTATGACACTGTAGGATCAGCACTGGACTACTAACCACAAGGTTGGTGGTGATTCAAGCTCTTCAGCCACTCCTTTGAAACCCAGTACAGAGTCACTATGAGTAGAAAGCGACTTAACAGCATTTGACAACAGCACATAGTCAGGTCTTTTCTCTTGTGGAACAGCTGATGGATTCCAACCTCCAGCCTTTCAGTTAGCAGCCAAGTGCTTAACCCTTGTGCCACCAGGGCTCTCCTTGGCTATGAAGTGGAGATGATAATGCTCCTCTCCCTGGGTTCTTATGAAGGCTGAGTGTGGGATGAGGTAGGAAAGTACTTGGTCCTCACAATCAGGGCTTCTGAACACATGGGCACCCAACTCCCAGCACCCCTCAGATTGCATCGCACCTTTAGGGTGCAGCTCGAGTACCTATACTGCTTAAACCCTCCCTAGACGATGCTGAAGCACATTAAGGGTTTGTTGTTGTTGTGAAGTGCTGTTGAGTCGGTTCCAACCCATAGCGACCGTGTTACAAACTACCAAATCAGTCTGGAAGTGCAGGACCGTACTATATGAGCAAGAGTGCTGGTGTGGCGCAGTGGGTTAATGCACTGGACTATCAGGTTTGTTTTAAACTGCAAGGTAGACAGTTCAAGCTCACCCGTCACCCCTTGGAAACCCTATACAGGGTCGCTATGGGTCGGAACCAACTCAACAGCACTTAATAACAACAGCTATATGAGCAAGAGAGTCTGGTGGCGCATTGACCGAAAGGTTAGCTGTTCAAACCCCCCCAGCCACTCCACAGGAGGAAAATGAGACAGTCTGCTCCCTGAAAGATTTCCAGCCCTGGAAACCCTAAAGAGCAGATGTACTGTGTTCTGTCAGGTCGCTATAAGTCACAATGGACTCAGTGGCAGTGGGCTTTAATGGGTGGGTTAGTTTATGAATTTAAAAAAAAATTTAACAGAGCCAAGTTCACACAGCTGAATGTGGGGGGGTTCATTGTTCCCTCTGTGCTTATGAGTGATGCTTTGGGTTTCTGTTTTCTTCAGTGGCCCTGAACCAATTTTCAGACATGACCTTTGATGAAATCAAACAAAAGATTCTTTGGTCGGAGCCTCAGGTAAGTGTTGGCGTTTATGACTAACCTAAATGTTTGCTCTAAAACCTTTGAAATAAGTTTGCAACCTGCTCTGCCTCCAGCCGGATTCTATCTCATCTCCAGAGACAGCTGGGAAGCCAGCAGTTCCTCAGTCCAGGCCCACAGGCCCCTATTCTTTGTTGCCAAAGAAAATACGTTGTTGTTAAGTTCCATCCAGTTGTCTCCGACTCATAGTGACCCTGTATAGGGTCTCCGAGGAATGACTGGTGAGAATACCAGCACTTGTGGTGTTCTCCAGCACCATACCAGAATTCCTCAGTTAAAATTTTAGTATAAACATATCCCAGACATTATATGGGACATAGTGGTGTTGTTGCTAAGTGCGGTTGTGTCAGTTCTGAATCTCCAAGGAGAAGGAGAATGATCACAGGTGTCACAATTCTACCTTTCCTCCCTCACCATCCTCTGGTCCCAGATGCTGAATGATCTGCCTCCTTGGGAGTCCAGATCTGGGAAGTTAGGCTAACCAGATTCACAAAGAAAAACGTAGCTGCCCAGTGTCTTAGTTACCTAGTGCTGCGTGTTATGAACTGACCTGTGTCCCCACAACATATGTGCTGTAAATCCTAACCTCTTTGTCGGTGGTGTTGTGTGGTCCTTTGATGCTGGAATTTATGGCAGCAGTATTTTAAATACCAGAAATTGATGGTCTGTTTCAGTCTGCCACTGGCCTTGTTTTGGTCGATGCCACTAAACTTTTCCACCGTCTTTTCCCACAGATGTACTTTATTTGATTCCTGTGTCTTCCATCTGGTGAGGGCCAGGTGTAGAGTCACTTTTTATGTTGTTTAAAATGGCATTTGTAAGAAATAAGTCACTGATCTTGTAAAATTCTATTATACAGTCTCCAGCATCATTTCTATCACCAAGACCATATTTTCCAACTACTGATCCTTCCTCTTCATTTCTAACCTTCTCATTCCAATCACCAAGGAGCTCTAGTAGTGTAGTGGTTACAAATCGGGCTGCTAACCTCAAGGTCAGCAGTTCGAAACTACCAGCTGTTCTGTGGGAGAAAGATGAGGCCTTCTGCTCCCATAAAGATTTGCAGCCTCGGAAACCCTGTGCAGGGTCACTATGAGTCAGAACCGACTCCGTGGTACTTAACAACAGCAACATTCCAATCACCAGTAAGTATCAATGCAGCATGGTAGCATGTTTGATCAGTTTCAGCCTAAGGAAGTTGTTACAATTCTTCAATTTCATTACCCCTGGCTTTAGTGGTTGGTGTGCAAATTTGAATAATAGTAGTATTAACTGGTCTTCCTTGTTTGTTGTTGTTGTTAAGTGTTGTCGAGTCCAGTTCTGACTCATAGCAAGCCTATATAAGGTTTCTGAGGAGCAGCTGGTGAGCTTGAACCACCAACCTTGCTGTTCAAACGGAACTTGCAGTCCAGCACATTAACCCGAATGCCACACCAGGACTCCAGTCTTGTAGACATGTGCATATTATCCTATCACAAACAGCATTGTACTTCCAGACAGATCTTGAAATGTTTTTATGACAATAACTTCAACGCCATTCCTCTTCCACTATTGTTCCTGGCATAGGAAACCATATGATTGTCTGATTCACCATGGCCAATATGAGGCCATTTAAGCTCACTAATTTCTATGAAATCCATCTTTATACATTCGATTTCATTTATGACAACTTCCAATTTTCCTAGGTTTATACTTTGTACATTCCACATCCTGATATTATGGGTGTTTGCAGCTGTTGCTTCCTATTTTGAGTTCTGCTACACCAGTGTATGTTGTTGGTGTTAAGTGCTGTCAACTTATTTCCAACTCACGGCGACCCTGTATAGGGTTCACAAGAAGCAGCTGGTGAGTTTGAACAACAGACTTTGTGGTTCAAACCGACCTTGCAGTCCAGTGCTTTACCCCACAATGATTCCCAGGATTCCCCATCAACAAAAGCTTTATAAGTCCATTCACGTCATTATGGTCAACTCTACTTTGAGGAGGCAGCTCTTTCCATGTTGGGATTTTGAGTGTCCTCCAACCTGTAGCGCTCAGCTTCCGGCCTTATATCTGACGATGTTCTGCTGCTATTGTCGATGTTTTCATCTTTTGGTACTACATCTACCAATGTTCTGCTATTTATATGGTTTTCAGGAGACAGACTCTCCTTCCTAGTCTGTCTTTGTCTAGAAGCTCCACTGAAACTTGGATGACCCTGCAGGTACTTAAAATACTGGCAAAATAACTTACAGCATCAAAGGAACACACAACCCCACAGACATAGAGGTTAGGGTTTATAGCACATATGTTGTGGGGACACAGGTCAGTTCATAACACGCAGCACTAGGTAACTAAGACACTGGGCATCCACATTTTTCTTTGTGAATCTGGCTCCTAACTTCCCTGATCTGGACTCCCAAGGGGGCAGGCAGATCATTCTGCATCTGGGACCAGAAGATGATGAGGGAGGAGAAAGAGTTCTGACACTCATGCTCTTTCATGGTGATTCTTGTTAATTTTTACTTGATTTTTATCATTTATTTTTTATTGTTGTTGATTGGTGATTCCATTCCATTGTATTGTTGTTTTTGTGTTAACAACAACAACAACAAAAAGTTTTGCTTGTTTGTCTGTGGGTTTTCTCCCTGAAAAGACATATTTGGATATTTCAGAATTGTTCAGCCACCAAAGGTAACTACCTCCGAGGCACTGGCCCCTACCCACCGTCTGTGGACTGGAGGAAAAAAGGACACTTTGTTACATCAGTGAAAAATCAGGTATTCATGCTCACTTGCACCCTTTCTAGAAACATAGTCGCATTCTCAGACAAAACATCACAAAGAAACACTCCAAAGAGTCACGCAACCATCTGAAGCATATCCCTGACTCTAGTTTCCTCCTCATCCCGGGCATTATTCTGAGAGACCACAGAAGTCATTACTTCTTTGGGCTGCTCCAGAGGATGAAAAGCTCTTCTTTATGGTGGTCTACAGGTCATCCCACCACCCCCAGTTTTTCCCACTGGTGGTCTGCCCGACACGGTCAGCCAAAACATTATCTGCCCTACACCCTTCAGAGACTGGAGACCAAGGCGCCATCCCTGCAATCTCTTCGTCTCCTCCATCCACTGGTCAGGGCACCAAGTCCTCCAGGGAAGCGCTCCCGCTGCAGGGTACAGTGGATTTGGCACGTGGATGGCAGAACCTCTCCACTCACTCGGAGAGCTGAGGACTCTGCCGCTTGTTTGGGGAGTTCCAGGAAGTTTAGGAGAGTCTGAACTGTCCTAAACTCCCAGCTGTCCCCTCTGCCTGCTGTGGTCCTTCCCTTGGAAGTGAGATATGATGACCTTCTTCAGAAAGATGCTGACCTCCCGGTTCCAGAAAATATACAGCTAACTTTTCCCTCCTGGAAACGCTTGCCTTTCACTGAAATTCTCTGTGAGAAACTTTCTTTCTCTTTCCTAGAAGTCATGAGGCACAGCTTCAAACCCTCCAGGCTCACAGAGCTGGCCAAGTTTTCTGAACTTTAAAACCCTGAAGCCAAAACGGCTCTGTCCTCTCAGGAGTAAATGTTGGTGGAAAGAAGTCAGTTTTTTTTTGTTTTTGTTTTCGTTTTTTGGGGCCACCTGAGAATCATGTGGCAATTGAAGGCAACCAACAGGAAGTGTGGACACTTAAGCTGGTCACTCTTGGGTGGATGGGCAGGGGAGGCCTGCCAGGAATTTCCCAAGTCCTCATTCATATTAAGTACTCCTGGGCCATCATCTGACAGGACATGGGCTAAGAGGGTGGCGATGAGATGGCTAATCTCCTAGGTGTATCTTATCTGACTGTGGTCACTGTGGTCATCATGATTACAGATGGTAGTGACGGAGGTGGGGTCTGTTGTTCTCAAGTTCAGCAGTTCGACACTACCAACAGTTCCGTGGGAGAAAGATGAGGCTTTCTGCTCCCGTAAAGATTTACAGTCTATGAAACCCTGTACAGGATTGCTAAGAGTCGGAACCGACTCCACGGCACATTAACAGCACCCATCAACCACCACTTCACAGAAGAGGAAACTGAGAGAGAAAGTGGCTTTGGCCAAGATCCAAGGTAAACAAGTGACAGAAGGGATTCAGTTTGTAAACTATTTTAACCTCATCCCAAACGGGTCAGAAAATAATCCATTTAACTTCACCCTAGACTGCCTGTTTAGGTTAAATAAATGTGACCAATTTCCATATTTGATCCCCATTTTTAAAAACTGAAACAAGACTGTAGATTTGAAACAATAAAAACCAAGTGTCTTCTCTCGTCCCAACGCTCCACCCTGCTCTGCCTCCTTGCATAGTATGTGGCCACACCTCTGTCTTTGACAGTTTTGGAGAACTTCAGACCAGGGTCTTCCTCAGCGGGCTAGGATGAAGGAAGCCTAGGATGAAGGGAAATGAACCGAGAACAGTGAATTGAATATTTAAATGAAATGGACAGGGGGAGGGGAACTTTAAGAGGAAGAATGTGGAGAATTGAGCCAGTGAGGGGAGAAAAAAGAGAAAGAGGTGATTTTTGAGGTTGGAGGCCTAAGAGGAAATTAACAATAGCAACGTAACTAACATCATTGGACTCTCTGGGCTAACTGTTTGGCAGGCATGAACTTAGCTAGCTCTCCTAACTGCTTTCTATTGTCATTCCATTCTACAAATGATGAAGCTGGGGTTTAGAGAGGCCTGGTCACACAGCTGATGTGTGGCAGAGCTGTGATTTAGACCAGGAAGTCAGGGTTCCAATCGGTATTGTCTTGGAGGTACCCCAGGTCAGGAGGCTGTGTAACTGTGGTGGAGGATGGTGAGATGGATAGATGAGGCAGGACTGGTGTGGTCTGAGGTGTCTGAGGCACCTGGTGGAGTCCGTGTGGAATCAGTTCAATGGGTCTGTGCGGAGGTCAGGGCTGAGGCTGGAGGTTGAGGGAGTTTTGAGTTTAACCAATAGAACCATGGGTAGAAATAAGATGGGGATGGTGGGGTTCTATAGACAGCACTTTGGTGAATCCTTTGGCTGGGAACTGCTGGGGAGAAGAGAAGCCAGAAAACCGATTCAGAAGGAGAAGGTGCGTTAGAAGACCATCAGTGGAGCTTGGGAGGGGCTCCAGGCCTCCCAAGATGGTAGGGGTTGGTTGACAAAAGAGAAGGGTTGGGGGTCCATCAGCACTAGCGACTGCTCCTGCTCCCATGAAGCCTCAGTTACCTCAGTTACTGAAACGTGGGAGAAGGACACCAGCCTCTCGGGCCTATAAGAGCCAGAGTGGGCCAGTCTGGAGCAGGGCTTTGTCAACCGGAAAGACATCTGGGACCTTGGGGGTTCTCAAAGGGTCAGTGGAGGGAGTCAGAGGAAAGGGCTGTACCCTGTGTCCCAGCTACTGACTGCCTGACCCCCCGTTTTCTAGGGAGGTTGCGGCAGTTGCTGGACTTTCTCTACCACAGGGGCCCTGGAATCTGCTATCGCCATAGCCAGCGGAAAGCTGCTCTCTCTGGTAAGAAGTCTCGCGTTCCCTACCATTTTGCCCCCAAGGCACTACAGGAGGCCTGAGAAATCCTCTTCCTCAGAATCCCATACAATTCACACCTGCAAGTCCACTTATCACTCTCACCCGCCTGCTGACCACCAGGTAGTTACGAAGCCCCTCCCAACACGTGCTGGCTGGGTCTGATGCTTCAGGACATAATTGGGTCATCTTAACATGGCATTGATTTCACCAAAGGTGTGGATCAGCACCTTGTGTAACATCTGACACCTTCCCAGCCTCCTGCTCATTGGGTTGTGTTCCTTCCTATAGGCAGAACAGCAGCTGGTAGACTGCGCCAAGGACTTCAACAATCATGGCTGCCAAGGGTATGTCCCTGAGCAGGAGGGCCCCAGACCCCTTCTCTTTACCAGATGGTTACTTCTAGTTGCACTTTGGTTTCCTGAGAAAGAAAGGAACCGTGTCATTCCTTTGTCAAGTATGTGCCAGACGCTGACAGACATTACCTTGCTCGTTGGCCTAGATAGTGGAAACTTTATCCCACTGTATAGAGGAAGTCACCTCACATGCCCAGGGCCCCACAGCCAGATGGGGCCAAGCTGAGATCTGAGCCCAGACCTATCTGGTTTCTAATTCCATCCTGTTTCCAAGGTGTCACCTGCCTCTCATTCCATGGCACAGTCAGCTTCACACGCCACCAAGGCCTCTGGGCAGAGAACAAACACATCAACTCCCCAAACCTAGATCCACACAGAGATGTCTGGGGGCCTATATACAGGTCCTCAACTGCTCTAAGCTTCCCCAGCTAGAAAGGCCATGAAGGAACTTGTCTATAAATGTGGTGCAGTGTTCATGCCTGTCTCTACTGGACCTGCCTATTGTTTAAATAGGTTGTTAGGAATTTCCACATGTTCCTAGTGTCTCTAGCCCTCACCTTTTTCTCCACACATGCTGTACTCTGAGACACCTCTATTAGCATCGGTTGGCTTTCCTGGCAAATAATCTGTATAAATCCAGGCCTTTCATGTCCCCCTGGAGCAAGCGCCCATTCTTCACCCCTCTGTCTACTTGTGGTCCATCCCTCTTCCCAGGCCTCAGCTCTGCCGGTCTTCTTCCTCCTATAGCTGAATTCTAGGAAGTCCTCTTAACCCTGCTTCCTGCTCTCACCAGCAGTAAACATGTAGCGAGCCCTGACCTAGACCTCGGGACTCAAGGATGACCCATCCTCACCAGAGGTTGCAACTCTCATTGGTTTGCTCTCTTATAAACACCTCTCGTAACCAGAGTCTAACAAGGAAGTTCTGAAGCACTTTTCAAAATAGTCTGTTTGCTTCGGTCCAGGATGCTAGTTTTTTTATCCATTCATTCCACAAATATGACTGAGCATTGGGGATTAGGGATTCAGCAATCAACAGAACACAGACATGACAATCTAGCTGAGCAAGAGAGATTGTAAGTATATAATAGATGAGGCGGCAACAATTACTATGAAAAAGGAAAACAACCAAGAATACAAGGGGGCAGGGGTATTGTAACACACTCAGCTGCTAGCCAAAGGGTTGGAGGTTCAAGTCCACCCAGAGGCAGCGCAGCAGAAAAACTTGGAGATCTACTTCTGACAAACCAGCCTCTGAAAAATCCTATAGAGTTCTACACACATGGGGTCCCAATGAGTTGGAATTGGGTTAGTGGCAACGGTTTTTAATGTGGCCCTGGGCAAGCTGTTCAGTCTCTTTGAGCCTCAGTCTACCCATTTGTAAGATGGAAACAACAGACTGATCTGGGGGATCCAGCAATAGGATTTGCAGAGCACTTGTCCCTACTGGGTGCCCAGTGGTAATAAAGGTGAGCTGGTCTTTGGATTATAGTAATCTTATCTGCGTTTGCAGAGCTTTATCCCAAGGCCAGACAAATGGTACTGCCCTCCACCCCTCCTCACCCAAGGCCTCCAGTCCCACCCAGGCAAACCGCTAACGAGCTCAGTCCTGACCACCTACATCAGGGCTCATCTGTGTGTGCTTCTTGCAGGGGCCTCCCCAGCCAGGCCTTCGAGTACATCCTATACAACAAGGGCATCATGGGTGAAGACAGCTACCCCTACCAAGGCCGGGTAATTCTGAGCAGCTTTGACTCCATCTTGGCCTACAAAGCTTCCCCTTCTGTGGCGCCACTCCCTCCTTCCTGAGATGCGCTTCCCCCCACACAGATATGCTGCTCTGTTGTCTTCTGGCTTCTTCCTGTCCTGCTGGACACCACAGTGTGTCCGTGTGGTCAGCCTCTTGTCCTGCTGACAGTCTCCCAAGCCCCGTACCTGCTTGTCTACTCCGTTGGTCCATCTTGTACCCCTGACCCCACTCACATCCTGCCTTCCTTCATCCAAGATCACTTCAGGGAACCCTCCACATAGGGGCTCCCAAGTAGCCTCTCAAGTCCAGTTCTGACCACACCCCTGCCCTATTCTGATCTCTTCACAGGATCCACAAGGCCTACAAGTTAAAGATCAAACTCTTTAGCCTGCCCTTCCCAACCTCACCCAAAACAGTCTTCCCAGTCTTTTCTGCCTGTTTCTGCCCCTGATAAACCTATGCGCCAGCAGAACCACCTGCGGGTTCCCTAACGCCAGGTCCTGCCTCTAGAAGGTCCTAAGACTTGTCATCCTCAGTCTTCTCCTTGTTCCAGTCCCAGAAGGGCTTCCATGTCCCTCCCTGTGTCCCTATGTCTGTGCTTACCTCTTGCCAGCAATAAGAATCCCCCTCCGTCTTCCCTGTTCTTACCCAGCCTCCATTTCTCAGCATATTTCCTGCTGGCTTAAGCCCTTCCTACATCCTCAATGAGTGTTCCGCATGCTTCCGTCAAAGCCAACAGCATGACTATCTCCTGCCACTAGGCTGTGAGTTCCTCGAAGACAAGAATGCTTCCAAGTCTCTCCTAAGTGACCCCGTAACCCCGTCTGCGCCTGGTACCTGTAGTCTTTGCTCAGTCAATGTTAGCAGGCAGCATGAGCAGGCCTGAAGCCTCGGCTTAGGCCAAATAACCCTAACCTGTACTCCACGTCCTTTGCTACCTGAACAGGATGGTATCTGCAAGTTCCAGCCCGAGAAGGCCATCGCTTTTGTCAAGGATGTGGCCAACATCACACTCGTGAGTACCAATGTCTGCTCTTGAATGGGGAATGTGTTTTGATAAGGAGTCTAGTCCCCTCAGCAATCAGATGGCCAATGGGTCAGGCAGCACAACCCTTTCATTTAAAAGGTTCTGATTCTCACTGAGTATCAGTACCAGGAGGACAGCGCAGTAGATGATGGGAGGGAAAGCACATAAGACTGCAGCCAGATGCTCTAACCCCAGGGCTGTGCCAGACTCTGTTCTTGTGTTTCTGTTTTCATGACAATAACATACAAGTATTAATCCCCATCCCATGTGCATACCTTCAGCATGTAAGTGCAAAGATGTGGATGAGACGCTAAGAGTGTGAGTGCTGCACTAACAAACAGTCCCCAAATCTGAATGGCTTCACACAGTCCAGGTTTGTATCAAGCTACATCCTTGTGTGGTGTTGTGGGATAAAGCGCTGGACTGCAAGGTTGGTTTGAACCACAAGGTTGGTGGTTCAAACTCACTAGCTACTCCTTGGAAACCCTGTGCAGGGTCACTATGAATCAGAACCAACTCCACAGCACTTCACTACAACAACAACAGGTACTCCTTAGCTTAGCCGAGTTATACTCTCTGCTCTCTGCCTCATTCTATGACCCAACTCTATGGAATTCCTGGTTGGCCCAACAGTTAAGCATGTGACTGCTAGCTCTGACTCTTAGGGCTTCCAAGAAGTTGGATGGTGAGTTTAGACCATTGGCCTTGCGGTTCACAGTCCAGTGCTTATCCTGCAGTGCCACACGAGGACTCCATTATTATTGAGTGCCATTGAGTCGCTTCTGACTCAGCGACCCTGTAATAGGGTTTCCAAGAAGCGGCTGGTGAGTTTGAACCGCCAAACTTATGGTTCACAATCCAGTGCTGATCCACAGCGCCACACCAGGACTCCATATCTACCATTTAATTGATGCACATGCCAAACTCTCAACAGTAGTGGCGAAAGCAAGACCCAGGAGGTGTTTTATTCTGTTCTACGTAGAGTTGCTCTGAATCAGAAGCAACTCATGGCACCGAACAACAATACATTCATGGAGTGTTTACAAGTGCTATGCCAACCACTCGGGAGTATGGTGGCTCCATACAATAAGCACTGGACTGCAAACCACATGGTCCACAGTTCAAAGCCACCAACTGCTCCAGGGAAAAAGATGAGGCTTTCTGCTCCAGCAAATACTTGAAGTGTCAGAAATCCTATACTGGGTCACTATGAGTCGGAACCAACTCGATGGCACTTAACAACAGTCCATCCACATAACATGCTTTATCTTCTCTAGATTCAAACTGTCCCTTTAAGTGTCATTATTACCATCATTTTCTAATAAGGAAATAGAGGCTCTGAGTGGTTACGTCACTAGTCTAAGGTCACAGAGCTAGGAAGTGAAAGCTGGGATTTAGACTGAGGCCATGTCATTCCTGAGCCAGGGCATCTTACCCCTGGTGTGGCACAGTAAGATAAACACTGGACCACAAGGTCGGTTTGAACAGTAAGGTCAGCTCTTCAAACCCACCATCTGCTCCTCGGAAACCCTATACAGGGTCACTATGAGTCAGAAACAACTTGACGACACTTAACAACAACTGACAACCACGGATTTATCTTTAGGAAATAGTTTTCTTTCAGACCCACCCACCAAGGGCTGGTCTGCTCTGAGAGGTACATCAGGGTAGCCCTTTGGCCTTATGGGTGATATCTGTAAGGCCCCAGAGAGCAGGCAGTGCTGACACTCAGCCCTCTTTGGTCAGGCTGAGGACTCAGCCAGAGCCCCAGGATAGCTGTGAGAATGGTGCTGGACATAACAGCAGCGTGTACCCTCTTGGTGGACAGGCCTTCCTTGTCTCCGAGCTGACCTGACCCCTCTGGGCCTCACGGAGTCTTTCTGAGTCTCTTGCTTGCAGTCAGCTGTTCTCCTCTGGGTCTCTGTCCACGCTTCCAGGGAACTAGGATTGGAGAGGCCTGGTTTCCCATAAGAAGCCCTGTGTTGGGCTACTAACCCCAAGGTCAGCAGTTGGAATTCACCAGCCCCTGTACAGGAACAAGAGGCGGCTTTCTGCACCCATACAGATTCACAGCTTCAGTTGGAACACACTCAATGAGAGTGGGTGGTGGTGAGGGTGGCTTCACCGTACCCTCCAGCACGTCCCTTGCTTTCAGCAGAACTCTCACCTCAGCTCGGACACTCCAGCCTCATTTCAGCTCTTCAGGGGCACTAGCCAGGGCACTGGCTTCCCTGGGAAGATTTGGAAAGCACTACTGCCTGGGCCCACCCTGTAATTGGTCTGAGGTGCAGCCTGGGCATCAGACTTTTTAAAGTCTCCTGGCTAGTTTAACATGCAGCCACAGCCAAGGTAGATAAGAACTGCTCTCTCTCCTTGATATTGCGGCCGATCCCACAGCTGCAGCCTCCAGGAAGCCCCCGGGATTTCCTCCTACATGTCTTCCCCAGCTGAAAGGACAGATGCTACTGGGAAGGCACATCATCCTTGGCTGGGTGTCTTCATTTCCTAGTGTTGTCGTAACACAGATGCCACAGTGCGTTCTGGAGGCTACAAGTCCAAATCAGGATCTTGGCTGTGTTGATTCCTTCCTCGTAGGTAGCTCTGGGTGTTCCTTGGAGTGCCTTGGCTTGTAAACAATCCTCACATAGCCTCTGTCATCCCTTGTGTGTGTGTGTGTGTGTGTGTCTAATGTGCACTTTTTATAACTCACAAATGATTAGATTTCGAACCCACCCTACTCAGGTCTGATCTGATTGTCATAACAAACAGGACTTCATCCGTAGGTGGTGTGTTGTTGTTACATGCCATCGAGTTGGTACCAACTCATAGCGACCCTATTGTATAGGGCTTCTGAGGAGCCGGTGGTGAGTTTGAACTGCTGACATTGCAGTCCAGAGCTTATCCTATAGTGCCTCACCAGGACTCCATATGTATAGGCATAGATACGTTGTTGTTAAGTGCCGTCGAGTCTATTCAGACTCATAGCAAACCCTGTATAGGGTTTCCGAGGAGCAACTGGTGAACTTGAACTGCTGACCTTGAGGATCTAACCGACTTTGCAGTCCAGTATATTAACCGTCAGCACTGCAACAGGACTCCAAGAATAAGTATTGGGGTTAAGCTTCTAACATACATTTTGGTAGGGACACAATTTAATCTATAGCACTGCGTTTTCTCTTGTTTCTACCACACTCTGGTCTTATTTATTCATATACTTATAGTCTTCCTGTTCTCCCAAAATAACTCTGTAGAGCAACTTGCTGGGAACAGGGACTCCTGGAAGTAGGAGTTGGGGAGTTCAAGCTCTGATCCTTCTGAGCACCTGGCCCATAAGAGGATCCCAGTGAATGCCTGTAAGTGAGTGAATGTGTGGGTCTACACTGCCCTCCACAGTCCCTGAGCCAAAGAGTGCAGGCCTTCTAAGAACCAGAGTTGTTGTTGTTAAGTGCCGTTGAGTCGATTCCGACCCACAGTGACCCTGTATAGGGTTTCCAAGAAACAGCTGGTGAGCTTGAACCACTGACGCAAAGGACTTTGCAGTCTGATGCATTAGCCCACAGCACCAACCAGTGAGAGAAGGGAAAGGCAGATGCACAAATAACACCAGCCTAGCCAGGGGAGAGATGTTACAGAGAGCAGTTTGGTCAGGGAAGAGGGACTTATATGGTAAATAGGACCCTCCAAGCACAAGAGGGTGGGGCCTCCCTCACCAGTGCCCAGCTCCCAAGGCCAAAGCCCTGCAGCAGAGGAGGACCAGCTTGCCTCCTAGTGGCTACTATTGGGCCTCACCCATCATCTCTCCTTGCTTCATGATGGACAACCACCTCCATTGCTTTGGGTCTCTAACTCCCACCTTGGGACAAAGAGCCATATCTTGAAAGTGGGGTGAAGATATGACAGAGGCTGTGCGTGTCCATCCACCAGTCTGTCTGTCTGTCCACAGAATGATGAAGAGGCGATGGTGGAAGCTGTGGCCCTATACAACCCTGTGAGCTTTGCCTTCGAGGTGACAGAAGATTTCATGAGTTACCACAAGGGCATCTACTCCAGGTGAGGAGCCCAGACCCCAGGAGCCGCAGGGAGAATGACTGGGAAGCTTCCTGCTAGGGCAAGGGACTCCAGCTCTACTCACACTGATGGTCACACCATGTCTTCACACCTACCATGTAATGGGAAGTCCTGGGTAGCGCTGGACATTAATGCTGGATGTTAATGCGCTGGACTGCAAGGTCAATTTGAACCATAAGGTCGATGGGTCAAGCTCACCAGCTACTCCATTATACACGGTCACTATGAGTTGGACTTGACTCGATGGCACTCAACAACAACAACCATGTAATGGACACTTTTATACATTCCCTCAGTCCTGGGGGTCAGGAGTCATTGTTTCCATCTTATAGAGGAGGAGAAAGATGGTCAGAAGAGACATGGCCAACTAAAGCCACATGACTTATCAGGGGTAGGGCCAAAATTTGAGCCCAAGACTCTGTCTTCCTCAACAGAAGAGTTGCCTCCAGTTAAGAAAACCCAGATGCCAAATTTGAAGACATAAAATAGGGAAGAGAAAGGAGCTACTCTCAAACACAAGAACCATTTGCTGATGGATTTACCACAGAGTTAACGGCACACAACCACCATCAACCATGGGCCGCCCCGGTTGAGATGTCACTGAGGACCTTAGAACTATAGGCAGAAACCACGTTGACAGATGAGAACTTGGAAGTTCTGGAAAAGCATTTATTTGGTCATGGAGTTAAAGGAAAAGAGTCTGTCCGTGAGAAGAGGGAAGAGAGCGAACTGAGGACAAAGCCCTGGGGAGCATCAGTACTTCAGGGATGACAAGAAGATGGAGACCATGAAGGGGGCACTAGTGAAAAGTAAGGAAAAGACAAGTGCCAAGGAGCTTGATTTTTCTAAAGAACTCTATGGTGACTCCTTTAGCAAAGGGTACTTGTGTTTGAAAGCAGCTACTTGCTCTTCTCTACTGCCTGTCTTCAAATTTGGAACCTGGGGTTTCTTAACTGGAGGCATCACTTATGTTGAGGAAGACAGGAGTCTTGCGCTCAAAATTTGGCCCTACCCCTGATGAGTCATGTGGCTTTGGTCTGTCATGTCTCTTTTTGACCATCTTTCTCCTTCTCTGTAAGATGGAAACCATGACTCCTCACCCCAAATCCTACCTGACCCTTCCTCCAGCCCCAGGCCTTCCTTTCCCAGGTCCCAGCATGCTGCTGCCCAAGTGAAAGACCAGAGCTATGTTGGAAGTCTCCCTTCCCCTCATCCTTCCCAACAAGGTCCACAGACACTGTTTCCCTCACATAGCTCCTCCTCCCCATGTCTCTGCTGTTGACCACCGTCATCCTCTCCTGGTTTCTCCATGTCAACGCCCACCACCAGTCCACCCTCCACTAGCAACCAGAGTCAGTCGGAAACATTCCTCATACCACACTGACTTTAAAACACTCTGATGTTCCCCCAAACCTTCAGGATGCGAGTCCAGTGTGTCAGCTGGGCTGGGAACACTCTCATGATCTCGTCCTTCCTGTTTCTCCAAAACGCATTCATCTCACCCTGCAGCCCCTTCCCCAGTCACCCATTATGATTTTTTTTTCCCAGTACCTCCTGCCACAAAACACCAGATAAAGTCAACCATGCAGTGCTGGCTGTTGGGTACGGAGAAGAAAATGGGGTGCCCTATTGGATTGTGAAAAACTCTTGGGGTTCCTACTGGGGCATGAATGGGTAAGTAACTTCCAGGTCCCATATGCCTTGGGGTGTGGGACTCAAGTCTGAGGCCCTGGAGGACAGCTCTCTTACCTTAAAAGTACAACTGCTAAGGGGCTTCCAGCAGGGCGAGAGAACCTCCAATTGTAACCTCCGCATCCTTAAAGGTCCCTCTTAGCAACCTCTCCCCAGTCCTGAACGTCAGGTTTTAATGATTCTGCACTGAGAACAGGAGTGCCTTTGGCTCATTGACATCTATCGTCACTGCTTTAAAAACCGTTCATATACGGTCCCTGTTGGGACTAAGCCAACCTCTGGGAGGATCTATGTCTAAGAAATCAAGATGGTAAATTGTTCACTGATCCCTGATAGCACTTCCTTTGAGGAGAAAGGGGCTGGAACCAGGGGAATGTGGTGTACATCCTGACAAGATTTTCATCTTGTGTCTCCTCTCTAAAAAGAAGAGTCTTAATTATCATCTCTTTTAACAAAGACTTGGGGTGCACCTGGAGAGAAGTGGGGGATGGGTAAAATAAGAGAGTTCATCTATCTGCCTTCAGGGCAGTCTGTTCCTGGTGGAAAGCCCCAGCATTACTGTCTAATAAATGACTTCAGAGCACACCATCCCCAGAGTTTGTCCTCGGTGAGCGGCAAAGCATACCAGAAAGGTCTGTGGTGTGAGTCAGCAGCCAGGCCTCAGCTCCCTCTCTCTGCCCAGGTACTTCCTCATCGAGCGCGGGAAGAACATGTGCGGCCTGGCTGCTTGTGCCTCCTACCCCATCCCTCTGATATGAGCCGGGACAACACAGCAGCTGCTTGGCGGAGAAGGGAAGGAGCCGGCAGCCAGGGCCATTCCGTGAAAATACTGCCTTGGAGGAAGTGGCGGCGTCACCCACCCAGGAGCTCACCACTTTCCTTCCTCGGCCCTGTCCAGACCTGGAGAGAAGCAAACCAGGAAGAAGAATTTCACAGATAACCAGCTCATCTGAATGTCAGTCCTGGTGCAGAGACCGGTGCGGTCAGCCCTCAGTATCTGGTATCTGTGGGGGATTCGTTCCTGGACACAGACGTACATACTTCCCCATCTCCCACCGCCCACTACACACACAGAGATCAAAACCACATCCTCTCCTCTCATGCCAATATCTCTAGATTACCTATAATACCTACTACAATGTAAATGCTATATGAATAGCAGTTTCTGCTCACTCTTAGCCTTTGATTGCTCTGACTACTTAATTGCAGCTTGCTATCATTTTTTTCATCTGGAACATTCTTGATCTGTGTTTGGTTGAATCTATGGATATGAAACCCACAGGTACGGAAGGCCCACTGGACCAGTCAGATGCCTTAAACCTGGTTTTCAACGGATCCAAATCCGTATGGACAGTGCTTTCTTCCCACGGGGCTACGTCCCATGAGAAAGCTCCCAGGACTGGTGTGGGCTACTTTTGCTGTATTCTTTATTCAATAAACAAACATTCAGTGAACATTTCCCTGGGCCTGCCCTCAGTGGCTCATGATCTTCCAAGAGGGAGGCACAAAGGTGGTTACTTAGGTCTCTGGTGTGGGTATGTGCTGGTCTAACTGCCACCAGATTGGGATACCCAGGAGGAGAACAAGTTTAATTTGAGATTCTAACCTTTGTCCCAAGCCCCAGTGAGAAGCTGAGGAAGTGAAACGTAACAGGCTCTGGCAGAGACAGGATTCAAACGCGAGACATAGACCTGAAAGCCTGTATTTCTCCATGAGGCCTCTCCAGGTCCTCTGGCTGGGACTGATCCCCATCCCTTGTTCTCCAGCCCCTTCCTCTGAAGGCCCCTGGATGCCTCTGTCGTCTTCACACCACCTTGTCCCTTTTGAGGAATCTTGGTCTCCCTTAGAAGGTGGCCATGTGATTCCTGCTTTCTGAGGCCCCTGGGTTCTGGGGAGCAGAAACTGTAGAACTAGTCAAAACTCTGCTCTTTGCCCCAAAGCTCACAGATTTTCTTCATTGGAAAACGTTTTGTGTCCCATGGGCCAACTGGAGAGTGAAAGGCTTGGGGATATTAGAAAAACAACTACTTTATTTGGACAATACTTATTTAGAAAGTGAAAGTGTGGTTTTTATCTATTAGACAGCAATAAGCCACTTAAGACAAAAAAAAAAAAAAATAGTTGTTAAATGCTGTCACATCAGTTCCGACTGATAGTGACCCTGTATAGGGTTTCCAAGGAGCAACTGATGGGTTTGAACCACTGACCTTGTGGTTAGCAGTTCAGTACTTATCCTAGAGCGCTAAGTTTCTGGATTTCAAACTGCAGGGTCATCAGTTCAAACCTACCAGCTGCTCCTCGGAAACCCTATACAGGGTCGCTATGAGTCGGAACCGACTGGACAGCACTTAACAACAGCAAAATGAAAAGGAAACATAATTCTGTACTATGATAAAGACCCCCTAGGTCAGTGGTACAAAACTAGCCGTGAGAGGCAGAGCTGTGACAAATAGTCCCGAGAACACCACTGGAACTTAGACCATTCTGGAAGGTCTGGCCACTGCAGTAATGGTGGTGGCTTATTGCTGAGCCAATTTGGACTCATAATGACTCTATATGACAGAGGGGAACCGCCCCATACAGTTTCCTAGGCCGTAGTCTGTTGCGGCATAGTAAGATAAGCACCAGACCACATGGTCAATTTAAACAGCAAGGTCAGCGATTCAAACTCACCATCTTCTTCTTGGAAACCCTGTACAGGGTCACTGTGAGTCCAAACTGAGTCTATGACACTTAACAAGAATCATTACAGGAGACATAGCCAAGCTTCTCTCCAGCAGAGCCACTAATGGTTTTACGCTGCCAATCTTTCAGATATCAGCCAAGCGCTTAAGTGGTGTGTCACCAGGGTTCCTTGATAAAGGAATAAGCCAAATTACTATTCACAGGCAGTATGATAATGTGACTTAAAGGACTCAAGAGAATGCAGAGAAAAGTTTCAAATTAATGAGAGAGTTCAGAAAATTGTTAACCAGATTTTAATACTGTTGCTAAGTAGCATCGAGTCGGTTCCAACCCATAACAACCCTGTGTAAGGTTTCCAAGGAGCAGCTGGTGGGTTTGAACTGCTGACCTTGTGGTTCACAGCCCAGTGCTGATCCTACAGCACCACACCAGAAGTCCAGATGGCGTCACAAAAAACAAAAAGCTTCAATAAAAACTCAGAAGGAAAATATTTTAAACTATATAAAGCAGTAAAAGTAATAACTAAAAATAACTGCCAATAGTTTTATATGGAGAAAAGTATTAAATGACTATAAAGGAAGATTTGAATAAATTGGGAATAGGAAGATTGATAATAAGTAAGATGGTTCTTGACAAAACAAAATTACCCGTTTGGTACATTTGTTGCCAAACCAAAACGAGGGTTTACTGCCTGTTACTGTAGTCAATCACAGAGACAGGGAGAGATCCAATCCAAACTTCAGTAATAGAAGTCAGCATTCTGTAGGACGGTGAGACATCCAATCCAAGCTTCAGTAACAGAAGTCAGCAGTCTGGAGGACGGTGAGACATCCAATCCAAGCTTCAGTAACAGAAGTCAGCAGTCTGGAGGATGGTGAGACATCCAATCCAAGCTTCAGTAACAGAAGTCAGCAGTCTGGAGAACAGTGAGATTAGCCTCTCAAGACCGTCCTGCCCATCGTAAAGAACGGGCACGTATAGGAGAAGTTACATTTGGATGTACACTTAATCAATTTAACACCAAGGTAACATTTTTTGGAAAAAGAAACAATAAAGCAATAAACTTCTTCAAACATTCTACCTTTAGGGGAAACGAATCAATCAGGCAATAATCCTCAAACATTCCACCTTTTAGGATCCAATCTGTTTAGTTCCTGAGGTAACTATATGGGTGGGTTTAAGCACATCCAGTCTTCCACCTAAGACCATGAGGTCATCTCACCTAATTTTTAAACTAACTTCCTCATTTGCAGGGTCTTCATTTATCAAGACCTAATGACTAAACTGACTTCATTTTGTTTGGACCAGTAGATTCATGCTATCACATTTCCAATTAAAATTCCAATAAAATATTTTGATATAGTCTATATACTTTGGAGGGAGAGACCAATATATTTAAGAAAATTTTATCAATGATATTTGTTGTTGTGACGTGCCGTCAAGTCAGTTCAGACCCATAGTGACCCTGTATAGGGTTCCCAAGGAGCAGCTGGTGAGCTTGAACTGCCGACCTTGCAGTTCAAACGGCTTTGCAGTCTTGCACATTAACCCACAGCACCACACCAAGACTCTATAAATGAAATTAAGGTCTTTCATATATCAAAATACCTAAAATGTCAACTCTAGTGTGCCAGTTAGGAATAGATAGATTTATCACAAGATCAGTGTATTCATCACTCAGTCTAAACCATGAGAATTCAGCAAATGCAGCAGACTGTTTTTACTTTTTGACCAAAATCTCCACCCAGGACTATATAGTTTTGTTTTTTAAGTCAAGTTTTTCTTTTCGAACATTAGAATTCTAGGGGTTCCTCCATGACCCATTGCTGTTTGAGATGATTTTGACTCACAGTGACTCTCTAGGACAGATGAGAACTGCTTCATGGTGTTTCTGAGGCTGTAAGTCTTTATGGAAGCAGGCTGTCTTATCTTAGCTTTCTCCTGTGCACAGAGCAGCTGGTGGATTGAAACCAATTAGCAGCCCAGTGCTTAACCCTCTGTACCACTGAAAAATGGAAAGCAAAGACAATGCAGAAAAAACTTTTAGAAGTATTCAGGAAAACACTGTAAGAACAAACTGAATGCAAACAAAATGAACTCAGCTCATAAAACTAAGTGGAACAAAGAAACCAGTAGCAATACACACACAGAAAAATAAAACACAGCAAAATGACAGGAAGAGAGCAGTCAACTCCTACCTAAGGATAATTACATGAAATGTAAATGGATCAAATGCACCAGTCAAGAGACAGAGTAGCAAAAGGGGGGAAAAAACAGGATCCATCACTATGCTGTCTACAAGTACACAATAACAATTAGGGAAAAAGCAGCAAAGCAAGACTACATTCACCAGAAGAAAAGAAATAATAAAGTGTAGAGAAGAAATAAATAAAATAGAAAACAGAAAAATAATAGAATCAATAAGACAAGAAGTTGGTACCCTGAAAGGATTAATAGTACAGACAAACCACTAGTAAATCTAACAAAAGAAAAGGAAAAGATGCAAATAACACAAATAAATAACATGGGTGACAACTAAACAGAACCAACAAGAATAGAAAGATAACACTATGAAGAATTATTGTTGTTGAGTTGGCTCCAACTCATAGCAACCCAAATAAGGTTTCTTAGGAGCAACTGGTGAGTTTGAACTGTCGACCTTGTGGTTAGCTGTCCATTGTTCATCCCACAGCAC